ACGTAAATCTGACACGAACCGTTGAATTTCGGATGGCGTTTTGTGCAGTATAATAAGGTATTCATTACCGAATGGCTGAGTTTTGACAGTTTACGTTAAAATGTGAGAACAGCTGACAAGACACAGAATGGCCAAAATTTTGAAGCCGTCTTACAATATGCATGTAGTCTGCATTACAGCCAAACACTGTGAAATCAGTGTACACTTTTCTTTTCTTCCACAACCATGAACCTATTCAATCAAAATCAACGGAAGTTAGTATATCCGAAGTTTCACAGTAAAACCATTGTAAATTGAGGTTGATATTGACATACAATGAGGTGCTTAAGGTTATGGTTATCCTTCGCCCAATACTCCTTATTTAGTGCCTTGCATACATTCTCTACGGTATTAAATAAAGCTTTAGTGTTTAGAGACTAAATTAATTAACATTTATACATATGTCGCCTTACTGCGATTTGCGGGTAAAAACGGTTTCTCAATTTTCTCTCTTTCCGATTTAATGACACCATTAAGTACTCCTAAAGTCTGCCAGTGATTCTTTTTTGAAGTCTTGGTTCAGATTTTATCGTAGATAAAGCAAAATAATGCCAGTTCAATGAAAGTCTGTAATTAATGGCGGCACGGAATTGTAGCCTATAGATTTCCAATACATTTTGTCAATTTTCGTGATAAAATCTTGTTCAGTTATGCCCTATATACCTACTGCTGTCTCACCTCAAAATGAAAGGTAACAAGGTGTTACATAGACGGTAAAGCTTTGAGTTGCATATGCTCATACATTGCATCGAAAAAATATACACGCCGAAATTTTATACTTTAGAGGTTTTTTCATTGTTTTAAATCAGCACGCCTATACATGCATTATTGAATAATTGTTTGGAAGATACATGTTTTGGAAGATATACGGGTATAAGGGTCTATGGGTTACTGCAGGTCGAAATAAAACCGTATTTCATAAACAATTAAAGAGATAACAATATATGGCATTACAGTTACATTTCTCACAACAGAAGACAAATATTAGAGAAAGAGCAAAAAGTGCAAAAAATATATAAACGTGTCAGACCAATCAGTTATAATGGTGGGGATCAAATAGCCCCACTCCCGATACATATCCATGCTGCTTCAACGACTTTCATTTATCTACAACACATAATACAGCATTCAAATTGTTTGAGGACGCGGTGCATTTAGACGAGCGATTCTAAACAGAAATTCCTGTATCGTATTTTCACGTCCCCCCCCCCCCCCCCCCCCAAAAAAAAAAAATCTAGCATTCGTGCTCAACCATCACAATTACGTTACAGATGCTTTCTTACCAATACGCTGCCCGCGGTGCATCTTACTGACGATCCACATTCCTGCAAAGGCTTCCGCTTCACTCAGGTTAAATCCCATTACAACACCTGTAAACCATAAGGGACCACTCTGCATTTTTAAAATTATCATCATTATTAAAATATAGGCTAGTGTAATCCAATTTTTCATTTCATACATTATTCAAAAGGAAAGAAAACTTAGGCGTGGTTTGAAAAACATGGCGGCGGAAAGCAATAGGTGTCAGTTTTGTTTACCTATAACTTTCCCCTGCAGCTCAGCAATAAACGATCCTTCTGGGCTGGATTCAAAGAGAGCCCTAAGAACCTCTTGGCTGAGATTCCACGACTCCATTTCTGCCAAACGAGTAACATCAGTCAAGTCTTCGGGCCGCATAAGTCTTATCCTGACTGTGGACATAGTTAGACTTTTGTTCCTCACACATTTATTCACGCCATGCATTGCGTATAACTAACAGCCAGCAATGTGTATGCAGCAGTTGTCTGCTAGTATATATATTTGGAAGATATACGGGTATAAGGGCTTATAAATAAATAAACAAAATTAGATCGTAACTGGACCATTACACAATAATGTAACTGTCTAGGTCAATGAAGCAAATAATGATGCACAAAATAGGTTATTTATCAGTTTTGATGCAGTTTAACGTGGAGCTTTACAGCAAAATCAACGTCAAATTGTAATAATGCACAACAGGTCACAGACATTAGGAATATGTTTGTAGCAAAGGCCCAACCCCGAGACTTCAATTGCATAACCTGGAAATCCTGAAATCTGGAAAATGAACATTTTATGAAA